GGTTAAAACGAATGTGCACGCAAGTGTAATAAATGATACTAAGCGCGCGGAAATAGTCCGCGGCTCCCAAGAAGCCCTAACTCAAAATTTAACCACCCAACGGCCAAAAATGAGAAAATGAACTTAGAATCGAAATTTTGAAAACTAAAAATATAAAATGATATCAAATTACTGTTTGGCCCTTGGCCACACTTCATACATGATTAATAAGACCTTATGGAAGGACAAAATTGGAATTCTCATACCCGATGCAAACATGGTGAGGCAATGACTTACCATTTTTCAATATTTTCATAATATTTCATGAAGTCAAAAGTTACATAGGATACAAATTAGATGTTATTGGCCTATAGCCTCATCTCATACATATCAAATACATTGTAAAGAGTGTACTTATGTACACATTACATGATTAGAATCAAATATACACATTTCGACATATAAGGCAACAAGGGGCATTTCAAGCCAACTTTTACAATAATTGAAACCTTCAAGGCTACAAATCATCTAAGCAATATGAGAATCTCGAACCTTGATTCCTGTACCTGAAAAATGTCCCCACTGCGTGGGTGAGTAATATAAAGCTACTCGTAGGAGATGAACATAGAAAGACCTAACGTTTTACAAACCTATTAAGTTGCTATAATTTAACTCAAATGTTCATACCACCTAGCGTCTATGTCGAAGGTGAGACTCAGGGAGCATCCTAAGCTACCTTAGAGTATTTCTAGCATAAACCACATCATCCATGCAATTTAGGCAACATAGAAGCATGCGATACACACAATGAGATATTCAATATACAAGTATACGTACATAATTATACAATCAATATTGAAATACACTTAAGACAAGTATACTAGACACAAGTATACAAGGTAATCTAGAAAGTAAATCATCAATATGCAAGTGTACATACTAAGTGCGCTAAGCAATATTGAAATAGAATATGATAGGGAAAAATAACCCTAGCCTATCTTGACTTAACGAAAAAGGTAATTAAATATTGACCGGCCACCAGATTTCTCCAACTCTTAGACGATAATATCTCGTTATTAAGGATAACCATTTCTATTAGATAAGAATGATGACAAATTGTATCTAGGATAGGATTTGTCATGGGGTAAGTTCAAATCTTATCAAGGATAAGATTTCCACGAGATAGGCTCCATGGGCTAAGGACGATGAAATTCCCTTATCAAGAATAAGGGAAGTGACTATAAATACAAAGACGACTCGGGAACAAGGTACACACAAAAAAACTCCTACTAAGCGAATTACGATTAAAATTCTCTATCGAAAACCCTTACTAACTTGATCGTCGGAGGGTTAACGGCCGGCACCACACCGGTGTTTGACTTTGCCATCCTTATTTTGCAGGAAATGGTGTCGTACTAGACCGCGGTGAATTTCAACCTCAACAGTTGGCGCCGTCTGTAGGAACAGCGATTCCCTTAAATCGATTTATTACTCGTTGGGTATAAACGTTTGCGGTCCGGTATGGTTACCGAAGGAACACCGTCGCAGGGATCTGGTCAAAGGGAAGAGTCGGGTGAAAATCTAGACGTCCCAAATGACCAGACGCGGTTTGCAGCATTGGAACTGCAGGTCCAAACTATGAATCAGGGTATGGACCAGTTGATCCAACAAAATGCAGCACTCCTGCAACACCTTGTTCCACCGGTTCAACAGAGCTTGCCACGCCAAGACCTCTCGAATCCAAACAGGGGTAATGGGAATCTGGAAGAGCAGGATACTCATCCTCCCCGATATGAGACCGAAGTTGAACAAAGCCAAGTGGGAAACCAACATAGAGAGGTGATCCACCCCTTTCTTCCACGGAATTCCCGACCCCATTAAGACACGACTATCATTAAAAAGACCGAGGAGATTTCCCATGTTGACCTAGAGATGCAGGATCTCAAGGTAAAGATGGAGGGTGTGATGCAGGCCATGAAGGGAAAAGGCATTGCAGTAATAGATGGTTTAGTGCAGAAGACCAATTTGCCGTTCAGCCCCTCGATTATGAAATGTCCTTTGCCAAGCAAATTTAGAATGCCCACAATTGAGAGTTTCGATGGAATTAAAGATCCCCTCGACCACTTAGAGACTTTTCAGGCGCTTATGCACCTACACGCGATGCCGGATGAGATCATGTGCAGGGCTTTCCCAACGATTCTCAAAGGATCAGCATGGGTATGGTTCAACAAACTAAAGCCAGGAACCATCGAAACCTTTGAAGAATTGAGTAAAGGCTTTGTGGGCCATTTCATTGCTGGCCAGAGGCATAGAAGGCCGGCTACCCACCTCATTTCTGTGAAGCAATAGAAGGGAGAGTCACTGCGAGATTACATTAGTCGTTTTAACAAGGAGATGTTACAGGTGGAGGAAGCGGATGACAAGGTGGCCCTAGCTGCCTTCATGGGAGGACTTCAAACCTCAAGATTCCTCTTCTCTTTATCAGAGGAACCTCCTACCAGCATGGCCGAGTTATTGGTTCGAGCTAAAAGACATATGAATGCTGAAGATGCAATGATTGCGAGAAAGGGAAAAGAAGGGGAGGATAAGAAGTCAGACAAGAAAAGGCCGGCCCTGACGATCAGAGATGAAAAGGAAACCAAGTATAAGAAACCCATGGTCAACCAGAATGAAAGGGCATCTCGCTATAAGAACGCGGAGAGGTATACAAATTACACTCCTTTAAATATGCCGATAGATCAAGTTTTCCTACAGATCCAGGATGATCCATATCTGAGTGGCCACCGAAGTTGAAGTCAGATCCGGCAAGGAGACCTCGTGATAAGGATTGCTTCGACCTTAAGGATCACATTGAGACTCTGATCCGAAGGGGGCACATGCAAAAGTTTATTTTAGGGAATGACAGAACCGACATTAACCCACTAAGAGCGGGCCGAGACAACCACCCTCCTGATCAACAACCAATAGGAGATATCAGGGTCATAGCCGGGGGATGTGCAGGAGGTGGAGAATCGAGCTCAGCCCGTAAGGCCTATGCCAGGAGAATGCGAAGCTCATCTGAGGTGTGTGAAGTAGGAGTACAAATTCAACATCGAAAGATGCCTCGTTTAGGTGATCTAGTTATTACATTCTCAGATGAAGACATGAAGGATGTGCAGCAACCTCATGACGACCCTCTTGTCGTCACCATGATGATCGCTAACTATAATACTCGGTGAATCCTAGTAGATAATGGAAGTTCAGCTGATATCATTTTTCTTGATGCATTCAGCAAGATGAAGATTGGTAAGGAGAAACTCAGACCTACTAGATCACCATTGGTGGGATTCACGGGAGACAAGGTCTATCCTCTAGGAGTAGTCATCCTTCCTGTCACTGCAGGAACCAGCCCAAAACAAGTCACTGTCATGGTAGACTTCCTGGTGGTGGATTGTCCATCTGCTTACAATGTCATCCTAGGAAGAGCAACCTTAAATTCGATGAGGGCCATCACTTCGACTTATCACCTATTAATGCGCTTCCCTACCGAGCATGGCGTGGGCGAAGTAAGAGGAGATCAGTCCATTGCCAGAGAATGCTATGTTGCCTCTCTCAAAGAAAAGAGGCAGCAGGAGGCTTTGATTGTCGATGAAGTTAAAGAGAAAGAGCAAGACCGGGCTAAGCCAATCGAGGACTTGGTGGAGATATGCTTGAATGACACTGACATAACAAAAAAGGTGAGGATAGGGTCTCTGCTCCCCTCAGATTTCACAAATATTCTTATACAGTTCCTCAGACAGAATCAAGATGTATTCGCTTGGTCACATGAAGACATGCCCGGTATTAATCCAACTACGATTGAGCATCGATTAAATACAGATCCTATATTCAAACATATCAGGCAAAAGCGAAGAACATTTGCCGCGGAAAGGAACATGGCTATATCAGAAGAGGTGAATAAGCTTATGAAAGCTGATTTCATCCAAGATGTTCATTATCCCAACTGGTAGGCCAATGTTGTTTTGGTAAAAAAGGCCAATGGAAAATAGAGGTTGTGCGTAGACTTTACCGATTTAAATAAGGCGTGCCCCAAAGGTAGTTTCCCTCTGCCAAGAATTGATATGTTGGTAGAAGGGACAGCTAGCCATGAGCTACTCAGTTTTATGGATGCATACTCAGGGTATAACCAAATCTCAATGCACACACCAGACAGAGATAAAACCTCTTTCATCACGGATAGAGGTTTATATTGCTATAAGGTGATGCCTTTTGGGCTAAAAAATGCTGGTGCAACATATCAGCGGCTAGTAAACTTGATGTTTAAGGACCAAATCGGAAGGAATATGGAAGTGTATGTGGATGACATGCTCGTAAAAAGCTTGAAAGCTTAAGACCATCTGGTTGATCTACAGGAAACGTTCTAAGTCCTCAGGAAACACCAGATAAAGCTCAACCCAAGTAAATGTGCCTTCGGAGTCTCCTCTGGGAAATTCCTCGGTTACATGGTAAGTAGAAGAAGGATAGAAGCTAACCCTGAGAAGGTCCAGGCGATTCTCAACATGCAGTCTCCAGCATCGACCAAGGAACTTCAAAGATTGACAGGAAGGATCGCAGCTCTGAACAGGTTGATTTCCAGGGCGACCGATAGATGTTTGCCTTTTTTTCGTGTGCTTAGGAAAGCTTTTTCATAGACCCCTGAGTGCGAGTAAGCTTTTACAGAGCTAAAGGAGTATCTCACTTCACCACCATTATTGTCGCGGGCGATACAAGGAGAACAGTTGTATTTGTACTTGGCGGTTTCTCCGTCGGCAGTAAGCTCAGCCTTGGTCCACAAAGAGGATGGAAACCAAAAACCAGTATATTATATTAGCCGTGCATTCAGGGGGGCGAAAGAAAGGTACCCAAGGATAGAAAAGTTGGCATTTGCTCTAGTTATCTCCGCAAGGAAACTCAGGCCTTACTTCCAAGCTCATACAATAATAGTATTGACGGACCAACCACTTAGGCAGGTTCTCCGCAAACCTGATACTTCAGGGTGACTCATGAAGTGGTCGGTAGAACTTGGAGAGTTCGATATCCAATACAAACCCCGAACGGCCTTAAAAGCCCAGGTACTGGCAGATGTTATAGCGGAATTCACACCAGAAGATGGGCCCGAGCATGCTGCAAATAAGCAGGAAGAAGCCGAATCTACTTGGACGTTATATATGGATGGGTCTGTCAACGCCCGTGCAAGTGGGGTAGGGCTAGTAATTATCTCCCCAAATAGGGAATGCATCAAATATGCACTTAGGTTTGGTTTTAAAGCAACCAACAATGAGGCAGAGTATGAAGCCCTCCTAGCAGGCCTCAGGATGGCGAAAGCTTTGGAAGTTGAACGACTAGTAGCATATACAGACTCTCAACTAATAACTGGACAAGTCCAGGGGGAATATGAAGCCAAGGATGAGAAGATGAAGACCTATTTACATAAGATAGAGGATATCAAGGGTTTTTTTAAGAAGTTTTCTATTCACCGGATTCCCCGAGAAGAAAATGCGCAGGCAGACGCCCTGGCTCGACTGGCAACCACAGAGGAAGATAAAGCCATACCCATGGGATATTTGGATGAGCCTAGCACGGTCTGGGATTGGCCACAGAAAATACACCAGGTGGCCCACGGCATGGAGTGGGCAGAACCCATTATCAGGTACATTGAGAACGAAAAGCTACCCCAGGACCGCATGGAAGAACGAAAGATTAGGATGCATGCGGCAAAATATTCCCTCATTGATGGGGTTCTCTATAAGAAGGGATTTTCTCTACCCTACTTGCGTTGTGTCTCCATTGATAAGGCAAATTACATTCTAAAAGACATACATGAAGGCCTTTGTGGAAATCATGCTAGGGGCAGATCACTAGCGCATAAAACTATCCGACAAGGATACTTTTGGCCTACTATAAGGACAGATGCACTTGAGTTTGTGAAGAAATGTGACAAGTGTCAGAGATTCGCCAATGTCCCAAAACAACCAGCAGAAAAGTTAACCCCTCTTACAGGGCCGTGGCCTTTTGCCCAATGGGGGACGGACCTCATTAGCCCCTTACCCCAAGGGAAGGGACAAACTAAATACGCAATTATGGCTATCGATTATTTCACCAAATGAGTAGAAGCTGAGCCATTAGCTCATATTAGAGCGAATGAAGTAAAAAAAGTTTTTCTGGAAGACAATAATCTGCAGGTTCGGAGCACCAAGGGTAATTATGACCGATAATGGAAAGCAATTTGAAAGTGAGCAGTTCCTCGATTTTTGTAATGAACTTGGGATCAAAGTTCATTTTTCCTCTCCTGCCCATCCCCAAGCCAATGGGCAAGTTGAGGTCACGAATAGGACAATATTGAAGATGATCAAGACGTGCCTAGAAAAGGCCAAGGGCTTGTGGCCTGAACAACTACCCGGAGTTTTATGGGCCTATCGCACTACCGTAAGAACCCCCACTGGGGAGACCCCTTTTGGGTTAGCTTTTGGAAGTGAAGCTGTGATCCCGGTAGAAACAAAGGTTGCTACCTTCAGAACCAAGTATTTTGAACCTCAACAGAATGGGGTGGAACTACGATTAAACCTAGACCTGGTAGAAGAGAAAAGGGAGCAGGCCCAGGTCAAGGTTGCGGCTTACCAGCGGATGATATCCAAGTACTACAATGCCCGGGTCAAGCCAAGGAGGTTTGAGCCAGGAGACCTGGTGCTTCGTGAGGTTACCCCGGCTACTAAGGAAAAAGGGGAAGGAAAGTTAGCTCCCAATTGGGAGGGCCCTTATCGAGTAACCAAAAGCAACAGACCGGGGGCATACTGGTTAGAGTCACTTGGTGGGAGCCAGCTTCCCCACCCGTGGAATGTAGAACATTTGAGGAAATATTACCAGTAGGTACTCATGCCAGGCTGTGTTTTATTTTATTATCTCACTTTTAAAAGTGATAGAATATTTTTAGCTTCAATAAAGCAGACCAGTGCGTAACGGATGCTAATATTCGACTATCAATTATTATTTTCGATAGGTCTTTAATAAAATGGTTATTCGTATTTATTGCACGTGTTTCTACTGAATTTTATAAGTCACACAAGGACTAGTGACACATTAAGTCCACTTCTTTATTAAAAGAAATAAGTGACTTTCCCTTACTAAAGGGACGAGCTGGGTGAAGCTCGTAAAAATATGTTCCTTCGGAAGAAGGACGGGTTGAATGAAGCCTGGGAAAGTAAAATGAGTTCTGTATAAGGAAACAACAAGTATGAAACAATATCATGAAAGACAAAAGTAGAGCAACTATTCTCTAGATTCAGAGATATTCTGAAAAGTTCTAAAGGAACAACATACTGAGAAATCAAAAAACCTAATATATATATATATATATATATGACTAATACTATGGAATTCAATCTTCCTCTTCGCTCTCACTTAAAACGTCATACATAGAAAAGTCTATGTCTGGACGATCTTTGCCGACAAGAGCTTTGAACCGGTCAAAACCATTACAGCAAGCCTTGCCTATGAGCACCTTGAATTCATCAGAATTTTTAAAACTCTCCACGGCAGCTAGCTTCTCAAGTTCCAGCTTATCAGAGTATTCTTTGGTAAGTTTCACTTTCTCATCTTGAAAGTTTAATTTTGCATTAGTCAAGTCATCTTCTTTTAGTTTAAGTGTAGAAGTAACATCTTCATATTTAGCCTTGAGGGAAGCCATCTCTAGGGAAAGCTTCTCGTATTCTTTGGCGATAACAACAGAGTATGTAGTGCCCTATAAATAAATAAATAGTGGCGAACAGTTAAAAATAAATAAATGAATAAAAAAAAAAAGATGCACATAATAAGGGTAAAATCTCACCTGGCTGATTAGATGAAGAAATTTCTTTGAAAGCTCAGATGCTGGCAGACTCTATAATCTGGCAGTGTCATCTTTTACTACCATTTTATGTAACCTGTCATTCGCGACATTAGCATCATCGAGAACCGATTCCCCGTGGGAAAAGGCTTGGTTGGTTGATACTGAACCAAAACTTTCGAAACTAGTAGGAACCCCACCAAATCCGCTGAAACCTAGAGGTACAGGAGTAAGACCTGATAACACTCCAGGGCTTGTGGATGTACCATGATTCCCTTCTCCTACCCTTCGTAATTTTTTGGAAGCAGGAGTAGAAGGGAGATTACTTGACCGGACTTGGGCTAGGAGCCTTTTACTGAGCTTCTTGCCTGCATAAAGAGTAATAAGGGAAATACTTAATGAGATATTAACTAAAATCAGTAAGTTCACATATAAGTATCTTTGTTTTTCTTACTTTTCTCTGAGTGGGTGGAGGTTTCTTTTGAGCTATGAGCTCGTACATACAAATCTAAAGCCTCGTCAGTTATGAGATCGCTAAAGGTCTTCACTGGGTAAGAAGAGGCATTACCAACATACTCGGCTTCTGGAATGGAGAGGGTTGGTTTGTCCTTAAATCCTGGGAAAAAGAATAATAAGTTGCACTTAAAAAAAAAAAAAAACAAAAATTATTTTCCTATTCATGAACAGTACCCTCGGGTACTGTTCCCTCGGGTGCCAAAAAAAAAAAAAATTTATTTTCCTATTCATGAACAGTACTCACGAGTACTGTTCCCTCAAGTGCCAAAAAAAAATATTTTCCTATTCATGAACAGTACCCGCGGGTACTGTTCCCTCGGGTGCCAAAAAAAATAAATAAATAAAAAATAATAATAATAATTTGGAAACTATATACATATAAATCTTACCTGTTGGATCTGAATTATTCCAAACAGTTGGAAATTTCCCGTATGCACCGGAAATAAAAAAGAAACGACTCTTCCAACCTTTATTATTTTCAGGGGTTGCAACAAGGAGAAATGTCTTCTTTGATCTACACTGGAAGTACCAAAAATTGTCTTTTTTCTTCTTGGGATAATAAAAATGTAGGAATTGATTTACTGCTAGACGGCCATTACCACACTTTCCCCAAACAATCAAACAGCTTATAATAATTCTCCATGAATTAGGAGCAATTTGAGAAGGAGCTATATTCAGATGAGAGAGAATTTCTTCTACAAATGGATGAATCGAAAAACGCAAGCCCGCAGCAAAAGTCAATTCGAAAAAACATACCTCACCCAAACGAATAGAAGAACATCTATCTTCTGGTTTGGGTTTGTGAAGACAAATAGATGAAGGAATGGAATACTTAACTCTACAATTCTGTAAATTCTCATCCTTAATTAAGGATTCTCCTTCACGAGGAGGTTGCTTGGAAAAAGCAGTCCTTGGTCTTGAGGAGTAATCAACACCAGATTCATCAGCATAGTCAGGATCGAGTTCTTCAACACTTTCAGAGGTTGAGTCCTCGGATTGAGATTCAGTATTCAAGTTATTTTTCTGCACAAACATAATGAGGTATCGGATATCGCGAAAATAGCGAAACCACTTTGGAATTACACCGATAACCTGGTAGAGACAACTTGACCCAATTACGTATCTACAACGATCCACAATAAACTCACAGTTAGGATCCAGTTTAGAGGATTTCAGACCAAAAAGAAAAGGAAGGTAAATAAATAAATATATATATTTATTTATTTATAGGAAAGAAAATTCTTTTTCAAGTAACAGTGAAGTTCTTATAAAGGAGTCCTACTATAATATGGAAGGGGCCTGTAGTAAAAAGGAAACAAATGAAATATAGAAAGTATTTCCTTGGTCCACCACGTACCCGGAAATAGGGGGCAACTGATAGGGAAAAATAACCCTAGCCTATCTTTACTTACCGAAAAAGGTAATTAAATATTGACCGGCCACCAGATTTCTCCAACTCTCAGACGATAATATCTCGTTATTAAGGATAACCATTTCTATTAGATAAGAATGATGACAAATCATATCTAGGATAGGATTTGTCATGGGGTAAGTTCAAATCTTATCAAGGATAAGATTTCCACGAGATAGGCTCCATGGGCTAAGGACGATGAAATTCCCTTATCAAGAATAAAGGAAGTGACTATAAATACAAAGACGACTCGGGAACAAGGTACACACAAAAAAACTCCTACTAAGCGAATTACGATTAAAATTCTCTATCGAAAACCCTTACTAACTTGATCGTCGGAGGGTCAACGGCCGGCACCACACCAGTGTTTGACTTTGCCATCCTTATTTTACAGGAAACGGTGTCGTACTAGACCGCGGCAAATTTCAACCTCAACAGAATACAACATATATATTCAAGTAAACATTTCTAAGCATACTAAGCAATGTTGACATACATGGCATACAAGTATACAAATCCAAGAATACAAAGCATTTTTGATATATACAAGGCATACAAGTATACAAACACAAGTATACTAAGCAAGAAATGAAGTACCATGCATCCAAGCACAAGTTAAAAGTAATCCACAATTACAACTAGGAATTGAATGTGAAATCAACCAATGGCAGAAAGACGAAGGACATATGGTCTCAATGACCAAACAAGTGATCTCGGGTTACTAGCCCGTAAGGAACTACCTAGTGTGCACTATATGTTATAGAGGGAACTCTCATCCCCCGTACTAGAGGCATACCCTAGCCTTAACATATTACAATGTTCATATAAGTTTTTCAAAAATCATAAAGTTGTGCAACAAGTATATCACATATACACAATGCACATTGTCAATTACCATGCACAACCAAGTCATGGAATACACATGAGATATGCTCTAGGCCTTCAAGCTACAATGACATATTAAATGGCATATAAGTATAATGTGTATACAACAAGTTAAATCATAACTTCTACTCATAGAATACCATCTTGTAATCATACACCAAGTTGCAAATTATAAATTAAGTAAGAATATAACATCAATAATTAATTACCTCCATGAAAGCATACAAATGGAATTTAATTAAATTAAATAATTAAATTCTTAAGATTTCAAAGCAACTCCAAAAATTCTAAATATAATATATGTCAAAGGTCATAACAAGACCTAATTTAATTTCAAGTTGCAATTCAATTCTACCTTAGTTACAACAAGGTAAGTTAAGATCAATGCCAAGAAAATAATTAAATAAATTTCTCAAAAATCATTCAAATATTCTCTATTTAATATATGTGAAAGAACATGTCAAGACATTATT